TCGATGTTCAAAGTCAGAAGCGTTAACCACTGAGCTATGTACATCCCGTAAACTCTTGTTGCTAATTCATTTTCCTTATTCAACCAACTACTATCAAGTGCAGCTGATTTGCCGCTATTTAAACTCGACAGCTCAGTTTTGCCGGTAAAAATAAATGTATGAAGAAAAAAAATATTTTTTGCCTAAAATATTAAATTTTTTTAAAACTGTTGATTATATAGAAAAACGTTATATGAACAGATTAAAGGAATTGTAATTTTTAATTTTTTTAAATTTGTTTGAGCAAAATCGGACTAGTGGTTCTAGAGTTATGTCAAAAAAAGACCACCAAAGGTGACAATTTCCCCTATATGATAGTTATATACATATATATCTCGATTCCTAGACGTGACCCAGCGAAACGCCGGGACACGTATAACTTCTTTTTTACCGATATAACTTTCCCCGGTAGTTTGAACCCTTCAGGATCACTGACCCCTACCATTTGTCTCACAGTGTAATTAATTAACATTTTTTATTGAAATATTTTTCAATAGGTGACTTTGCTTGTTTAGACATTTCGGTTTTAAAGCTATTTAAGTCCTCTTTCGTTTGATAACAAACTTGTTTAATTTGGATAGGCGGTTTGTTTATTGTCCGGAAGGGACTTTTAGTTGGGAATAAAAATTATTTGGCCAAGTTTAACTCGTAAAGAAAATAACTGTTACTTTCGGTCCCTTCAATATTCGCATTCGCAAAAGACCCGCATTGATTATTGCGAATGCGAAAGCGAATGCGAATGTTAAAATTTACGCGGAAGCTCCGCGGTTGCGAATGCGAATGCGAATATTCGCAACAACCCTGGTGAGTACATTTACGAATTTGGAGAAAGAAATCATATGTCATCATGTACTTCGTTTATTATATACTTTAAAAATCTTATCTACATCCGTTCAATAGCGTGGTCAAAATATCTCGCCCTTCCTTTATACTAGGGACCGGCAGCAGAACACCCCGATCGCAGCAGCGCGGGCAAGCAGGTGCGTGATGCGGGGCAAAAACTTCAAACCGAAAGGGTAAGCAACAGGGATGGAAAATAAATTTTTCGAATTGTACCTATTTGTACCTAGTTCTATCTAAAAGTAAATAAATCTACCTAAAATGGTTTTTATAAGTATGAATTCTTTCCTAGTAGGAGGAAACTTTTTCCTTCAATGCCATATCAACTTTTGGAATAACATTAAATAAATTTGGGTATAAAAATTACGTAGGGAGAAATATCTTCGAGCAGCTCGAGACAAAACAATGTTTTAAAAAAGGTTAATCACTTTACTTTTTATCTGAAACTAACAAAGAGTTTCATGAAAAGTTATGTGGTTACGTTGCAGATTTACCTTAAATGGTGTGCTTGGTGTGTATAAAGTTTATACTATGTATAGAAGATAGTAATTTTAAATAGGTTGCAACCCTACTAAAAAAATTAAAGTTTTTGTTCATGCGAAGGCCATGCACTTTCATTTGGTATCTAATTTTTTTATACAACGAACGGTGAATATCTTATAGTTTTTAAACAGGTGGCAACCCTACTCAGAAAAATAATACATTATTACACATCTAGAGGCTAAGTCTTTTCATTTGACAGTGACGGCGCAGAACGGACGCCTACGCTTATAAGGATTGAATATAGTAATTTTCTTAACAGGTGGCAGCCCTTTCAAAACATAAGACATTCGTGATTTTCTAGAGACCAATCATTTGACACCTCAGTTTTTGAAATCTAACGAACGGTGCGGATCTTATAGTTTTTTAGACAGGTGGCGACCCTATTAGAATCCTAACTAAAAAATGTTACTCTCCTATCGATACGGAGTATGTTACAAAAATCTCGTCAAAATCCGTTCAGTAGTTTTCGAGATTACCACTTACAAAGAAACAGTTTCTAAAAGTTAAATTAAATCAAAAAAATTTTTTCCTTTTTAAAACGATAAAATCTAAAAAGTAAATACAAAACAAAAAAATTAATAAAAAAACATAATACTAAATAAAACAAGTTTCTGAAAATTAAACAAGAAAAAATAATAAATAAATGAGAAATACAATTTTCCTGCCCGAGGACTCGAGCTTGGATATTTCGAATGGCACGCCAGTGATTTGCTCACTCAGACATTGCGACTGTTCAGGCAGCGCGCGCAAAATGATATATGTAAATACCTATTTTTAATCGACTTCACAAAAAGGAGAAGGTTATCGATTTGTCACATATTTATACATACATATTTATTTTCTTTGGTTTTTTTTATGTAAGTAATACTATGTTACCGCATAAATTTGGACCACGTCAACCCTTACTTCACAGGTGGTCCCATAGTAATTTGGTTAAAATCCGATCATTGGATCATGAAGACTTTTACGATAATCTTAAATCTTTATATGAGATTTGAAGTCGGGGTTTTTTTTTTGTTGCTTAAGAATTAGTTGTTATATTCGATTTCAAACTGAATGAAAAAAGTGAATGAAGCCACAAAAAAAGGGCCGCAACTGGGGCCACACTTAAATTTTACATCAACTACTGAGCCCTTATCTATTATATTTTCGAAAATTGTTTACATCAACAGCGTTGCCGTAGCCGAATTGGTTGAGGTGTAACCTTCGCTCCGACCCAGATTTATATCTGGCCAAGGGTTATCACTACAGCGACACTCCCCGAAAGCACTTTGGGGAAATTGTATGCTGTTCAAAAAAAAACAACAACCGGTGCGACCTTCCTCTTTGTACGACCAAGGTTCGATCCCTAGTCAGAGCAACATAAAAAAAAATCGAATAGCGTTCATCCCTCAGTACGCAATGGCAAACCTACAAGTATATTTCTGTCACGAAAAAACGTTTGCCGTTCGGAGGCGTCGTAAAAGTGTAGGTCTCCCCATTTGTTAACAACACCAAGACGCTCAAAAGTTCCGTCAAACGTGTAGAAAAATGTGTAAGCTTTATCACTGTTAACTAGTTAGGAACTAGTAATCTTGAGTCCACTTAATATACATATAGTTATGTATAAACACGCTTTCTCTCACCTACTCTTCATTACTCTCTTAGTTTATAATTCATCATTCTTACTCTTTTCATTCACCCTCCAACCTGAGCTCCCTTCCATCAACCGTTATCTTTAGTTTTAGTTTTAACTTAATTAGTCGTTAAGAAAAATGTATAGTTCAGTAAAAAAATAAAAGTGATGCCCGTCAGAAGCAGATCCACTCTTTTATTATATTATATTTTAAGTAAAACAGTTTCGTTTTCCCTATAGGGAAATTTTACCTTCCACTCGATTGAGTAGGTGTGTTTGTAAATGAGCGTTCAATGAACACTGTACGTAGCTACGTGAAACAAACATAATGTAACGGCCGTGCTCGCCCAGGAGGGTTGTAAATTCAGCGAAGGAATACTGAAATGCTGGATTACAGTGTTTATGCTTTTTGGCGTAGGGGAGGAAATTCAAATGAATGCAACTGGATACATAGATACTTGTTATATGAACTGATCGACTCACTACGTATTTCAGTTATCAGAGAAACATTTCCAGTGTCGAGTAGGTACTTATCACTAAAGGGTGAAGGAGATCGCCATTTTTGTTTAACAAACTGATCGAAAAAGTTTAGCGCTAAATCCAGTGGTCTACTCCTGATGTTGTAATACATAAGTGACCTACATACATACATATCGTCGTTTAAAGTACAAAACCGCGTATCGTCATTCTGCAAAACTCTCTATAAAATAATTTATGCAACCTCACATACGCGGTTTTGCATTTTGTTGATACAGGGTTTTGTACTTTAAACGACGATATGTACATCAATTAGTGCGCATCAATTTCTGTCAAATATTATCAGTATTACGTACTACATAAAAATACACTGAGCAGTCTATGCTACGACGGAAGCACGAGAATTTTCCCAAAATCATTACTGGAATTTGAAGTAAACAGACAACAGCATGAGTTTACTCACTTCCATCTAAACAGTATGAACTCATTGCTGTGAACTCTATAAGGTTAGTGAGAAACACCGTACAAACAGTGAGATTCATAGTTAGTTTTGAAATAAATGTTTAGCTGCAGTGTGCTCATTTGATTTCAAATATGGCATTGATATACTCTTTCCAAATCAAGTCAAGCNTAGTTTTGAAATCAATGTTTAGCTGCAGTGTACTCATTTGATTTCAAATATGGCATTGATATACTCTTTCCAAATCAAGTCAAGCGAGTGAAAAATGCTGTTATTAAAAGCAAGTCGAGCAATCGAATGACACTCATTGACTTCAAACAATTAATAGAGAATACAATTTTGAAAAAAATTGATATTGATGAAGTATTTTTTTTTTTTAAATATATTAGTTTTACTAAATTATTTAGTTATGCACCTGACGTACATTTATATAATTAGTCTACAAAGAAATGCAATGCTACCTCAGAAGACATCGGCTTTATAAGGGACTTGAAAAATAAGTTGCTTTATTATTTAAAAACAGTTGCTGTTGAAAACTAACAGATTTGCACAAAATTGTGCTTTTTTATACTTATAGAACTTTACCGAATCTGAGCAAAGGTACACAAAAGAAAAAAGTTTACAAATTATGAGAACGTTAACTGAGAATTCTGACAGTACAACGGACAACTTTGAGCCAAGGCGTATTTAACAAGGTGGTGTTGGCCGTATATAAGTAAAAAATTACACTAACAAATTATACGCTGATGTCCATACTGTCATTGGTATGAGTTACAACAAACACATCATTTTGACGTAATGGCCTCCACGGCGAAAAACTCAGCTGTCGCCCCAACACCACCTTGTTTAATACACCTTGCTTTGAGCTGTTTTCAGGTCTTCTTAAACGACCTACCTTTGTGAGCAGAACTGATAAAGCTACTGCAGAGCTGCGGTGATATGAAAATATTGAGGTATATTTTCATACGGACTTCGATATAATTAATTGGTGGGAGGTACACAAATGCGAAATGCCGCTGCTGCATAAACTCAGTCGTAGAGTAATAGGCCCTCCTTNATAAAGCTACTGCAGAGCTGCGGCGATATGAAAATATTGAGGTATATTTTCATACGGACTTCGATATAATTAATTGGTGGGAGGTACACAAATGCGAAATGCCGCTGCTGCATAAACTCAGTCGTAGAGTAATAGGCCCTCCTTCAACTAGCGCATCGTCAGAAAGTTTTTTCTTCTGCTGGAAATGTTATTTCTGACAAAAGATGCCGCCTTTTGTCAGATGATGATGCCCTTAATCAGTTGATATTTTTGCATTATAATATGCAGTTAGGAAACCAATAAAATTAACAAAAATTGTCTTTACAAATGTTTTTTCTTTGATACTTTCATTACAGCAGTTATGTTTGGAAATAAATGAGTGCGAGTGTGTGCAGATGTGAAAAGAAAGCGAGTGACTTAAAATGTAATTTGAGTTTTGGTTTTAACATAAAATTCAATAAATACTCCACACATTTATACATAAATGTATTTTGTGAAAGTTATTTAACATAGCATAGCCATATCAAATACAGAAGGCACAATGTACCGTGAATTTGATTTATGAGTCCACGTTTCGGACCTATACAAGCTTGGCACTAGACCAAAATAAATTTTACCTTACAATGTTGTGACAATTTTCTGATCACTTATGCGATTTTACGGTATGATGTGATGTTATGATACGATGCGCTATTATTACAAGAAGCGATATCACACTGGCTGCAAAACGGCGAACCAAAAAAACATTGATGCATACATACGTATCTATGTACATACAGCGATCACAGTCACCAAATGCTTTGGAAGGCGATTTCATATTAAAATTGTATGGTTGACCTGCCGCAAATACCCTTACTTAAAATGCCGTAGACGCTTGTGAAATTCATATTAGTCCTATTGATATCCCATAAATTATTAACAGGTAAGAGTAAATTAAAGCCAGCGTTCGACATAAAGAAAACTGCAGTAACTACTTACTCATTGACACGCTTGGAAAGTGCCTCTGCTATAGTACGCAGCACTTTGGAATCTACATCGGCTCCACCATGCTCCAAAAGAAACGACGTCATATTTTCTATAACACTGATCTCGTGCAAGGACGATACCTCGGATTGCAGACAAACGGATGCAGCGGCGCTTCCAATATCAACTTCTGCACGTTCCTTTGAGGCATTCAAACGCCGACTTTCGAATGTTATTAAGTCACTCATATTCTAATTTTAAATGTTAATTTAAAAATACAAATATAATACTGAAAATGGCAAGTTTTAATAAAATTGGTAACAGAAAAACAAACACAAACAAGATTCAACTCAGGTAAAAACAAGCGCAAATTGAATACAAATCCAACTGATTTTGTGACAGCGAAATATGCCGTGTGGATTGCACCATGATAAAAACATAGCAAGGTATAACCGTTCTCTCAATTTGTCGGCCATGATTTTTTTTTGAAGTTTGCCAACATTTTAAAATCATATAAATGTGAAAATAAAAAAATGAAATTGTTCGAAATTGTTGTTGCTTGAGATTGAAAATGAAAATGTGTGTGTGAGTTTGTGAGTAAATTTAAAAATTAAATTGTTTGGAAACGTCAAGAATTTTAAAAGTGACTCTCAGCGGTTCTACCTTACTATATTTTTATCATGGATTGCACTGAAATGAATGAGCAGAGATGTTAGCAGCCCACTTCAATAGGAACATTATATGCCAAATACACGGCACAGGTCTGCGAATCGCGGGTACTTTCACCGTGATACGCATGCTCACAATTCGCTAACCACCCGACCATGATACAATAATTTTTAGAAGGTAGTTTCACTTCTTCTTCTTATCCGCCATGTTAGCTATCTGACAGAAAACGTGTTTCGTATTTTTTGTTGTACCAACTTTTTCAAAAAAAAAAATCCAGCTTTTGACGTTGGAAAAATAAAAGAAAGAAAAGCCAAACATGTAAGTAGAGAAATTTTCGAATATTTTGTAATAATTTTCTTCATAAATAATTAACGGAATAGATGTAAGGACACAGCTATAAGAACCACCGCACACTACAGACTTTATCGGCCGCCTATTTAAATGATAGGGCTCGTTTGAAATATGTACATGAAGATGTATGGAGGTGCGCACATTACACCAGCTTAATCGCTCTGACCAATAGGTTGTGGTGCAATGGAAAGACTGGCGAGCACATCTAAATTGGCGGCCGATAAAGTCCGTGGTGTGCGATGAATCTAATCCATTATAAACAAGAAATATTGCTGTCATATTTTCATTTTTATGATTTTTATTCATGTGATTAGCAGTGGCAAAAATGTATGTATAAAATAAGTATATTTATATTAAAAATTAAGTGATCAGTTATGAAACATATAAATCTTTACATGTTCTGTTAAAAAATATCTAAAATAACAAGCGATAATCACCAAGTTCTATATCGTAGCAGTGGCCACATTGCTCGTTTGTCACAGACACGGTTTATGTCAAAAATTTTGAAGTGAAACTACCTTCTAAAAATTATTGTATCATGCACCCGACCAAGAAAAGTATGTTAGCGGATATTACGATAGTTTCTCTTACCCTCGAGCTCCCCCTCACTCAAGAATCTCGTTTGAATGTCGACACGTTGCAGTGATGAAAATTGTTGCTAATGGGTTACAGAATGTTATGCATAAATGAAAATTGTTTTAAATTTGCTAACTCTTTTCTGTTGTAGTAATCTTTCATTTCGTCATAATCTTCAGCTGGATCGGAATGCATTTGCGTATATCTTAATAAAAATTAATGCGAGAAAGTCTAGTAATATCATCGTCCTTAACTATAATAGAAACAATTCTATGATATCACGAAGCTCCGAAAATAAAGACTTACTTAGGCTACTGTTTGCAAAGCACATCAAAATTATTTTGAATGGTTGTCTGTATAATAAAAAAGTTTAATAATAAATAATTTTTGCGGTGGGCAGCATATTTACCGGTCTTTAATTTCACAGAAGACATTGGTCGCTTGTTTTGAAAATAGTAAGATGTATGAAACTCAAATTTCTTTGTTGCTCAAATAGAAGAAAAACTTTCTTTCAATTTTGTAAATAATTTATTAAAAATAATATTTTTGAGGATTAGGTATGGTAGCATAAAATATCACAATCTGTTAATTGTCATGTAGTCAATATGGCGCCCGAAAAGTGACAATGAAACTACCACTTTTTTGTATCACGATTGATATCTGGCAAGGACTGTCAATCAGGCAACAGTCCCCAAAAATTATTTGGCGAATATGTATGCTGTTACAACAACAACAACAACAACGGCCCAGACTACGTAACCAGAACGAACGAGATTTATATCTGGCCAAGGAATTTGGGGATTGCATGCTCCTACAATAAAGGCCGGGCCACATAGAACTTTCGCGTTGGCTTTGGTGTTGGCGTTGGTTTAACAGAACGCACGTTAAAAGTATGCTTGCTACAATGAACGCTTAGCAGCGAATCCTTGGGCCACTAAATTAACATATTAACGACAGATAAATTAATATTTCATATCAATAATTGCATTAAAAACGATATTTCTTGCCCGCACTTGATTAAAAAGGAAAAATATTTCACATAATTTTATTTATTCGCAACAGCTGACGAGCGACGCACGCGAAAAGTTGAGAGTTGGCCATCTTTTTGCTTTGTGTTGGCGTGAGCGTTGTCGAATTTTGGCTATGTGGACGGCTGCATTTGAATTCATGTATTCATAGTCAGCTGTTGAAGCGACGCCAACGCCAACGCAACGCCAAAGTTCTATGTGGACGGGCCTTAACGGTGTGCGCGTCGCGGGTATTTTCACCACTGTGTGTCGTGTATTTGGCCCATTAGACTAGGTTCACGCAGAGAAACTTTGGTTGCTCATTTTCGGCAATTTCTCTTTTGGTGTTGCCCTTCGCGTTCACAACGAGCAATTCTATTGTACAATTGTTGTTGCCAGCTGTGAGTGGCCAACTAGAATTACTCAGACGAACGAGTGCACAAAGCGTGTTGCCCGAGTACGAGGAACTCGGTGCCCTTCCCCTTTCTCGTCACTCCCTCTCCCACAAGTAACGAGTTGCCGCGACAAAAGTTTCTCTGTCTGAACCTAGACTTAGTAGTGGCAAACTATAGATAGTTGACACCAGCAATAGTTGCCGATGGTGTTTGGACAACTATTGATTGTGTTGATAGCCACTCTATGCCGATGGTGTGATGTACTATCGATAGCTTGACACTAGTGAAAATCCACCGGTCATGTAATTGTGCGAAAGGTAAACTTTTCTTTATCCAAATAATGTAATGGCGATCACAGAAACGCAGCTAGCCGCTGTATACGCGAAAAGCAATGTTGCCACTTCTTCTCATTAAACCATGTTCGAATCATGGAAATTTTGGAAGATCACAGGATTGCGTTTACCATTTAGATTCTTAACGCAAAAATGGAGTTGCATTTAGGGCCGGTTGTTTAATGTCTGGTTATCACCACCACCACACTATCGACGATTTCGACATCATGCATGTAACATGTGATCGATAAAGCAGTAGTTGTGCTTAACCGGAGCTTCTACCTCCGATTTGTGCTAATCAGACATTGAACAACCGGCCCTTAGTTGCATTTAGGTGACGAATCTTGTATGGATAAATGTACATTAAGGGCCGGTTGTTCAATGTCTGGTTATCACTACTTGCCGGTTAAACATCATTATCGACGATTTCGACATCATGCATATTACATGTGATCGATAAAGCAGTCGTTGTATCTAACCGGAGCTTCTACCTCCGATTTGTGCTAATCAGACATTTAGCAACCGGCCCTAAGAGTAGCATTTAGAGCTAAATGCGCTAAATGTGCTTTTACGCGTAAGCAAAAACAGCCCATAAGGCGGCATACAGGAGCAACCTCCTGTAAAATTCTGTAAAGCTGAAATTAGTCAAGAACGCAGAACGTATACTTAGGGCCGGTTGCTCAAAGCCTGGTTGACACTAATCCCCGGTTAGACATCGTTACCGACGTTACCGACACCATGTTATTTGCATGGAGCCGAAAACGTCGATAACGACGTTAATCGGTGATTAGTGTCAATCAGGCTTGGAGCAAGCGGCCCTTAGGGCCGGTTACTCAATGACTGGTTAACTGTTGTTGTGTCCTGTTGTCTGCAAGGAGTTGAAGACGTCGATAACGATGTTTAACCGCAGATTAGTGTTAACCAGACATTGAGTAACCGGCCCTTAAACGCAGTCTGTATACGCAGAATTTTGTCGATTACCAAGAATGATAGAATAGAGAGATTGCGCTTTGCGCAGGTTCGTTATTTTTGCTGTACGATATTGACAACCAGCTGTTCGTGTGATGACGTCACACTATCAAAATTTTGTGAAATATGTATGG